TTGGTTGATGATGGATTAATTGTTCATAAATATGTTCCAGCACATAACCTTGATGCTCAAAGATTTATCTCTCTAAGGAAATCCTTAGGGATATGCATTCTCTGATTGCTTGCATGCCATTATATTATATTGTATTGTATATTAGTATATATATTATATTTGCATTGCGTGTATGCATATAGGGTATTATTTGCATTAGGCATGCCTTGCATTTTTGCATATATTTCACCACTAAGTCATAAATGAAGTTCTGACTCTTCTGAAAGCGGGTGAGATGTTGATTGTCTTTAATTGATGGCGTGTTCTTGCATACCTTGGAACAAATATATTTCTGTCAAAAAGAGCTGCCTTCACACAATGATCTAGAGCGATAGCTAGCACATGGTTCGTTTCCTTTGGGATCGACTGTGAAAAGAGCGTCATGGACAGAAAATGTTGTGAAGGGTGGTAGCTATTGACAACCACTGCACTTCATTGTGTGGTGTTTTTACTTGGAGTTATAAGGTGGTCATCTTCATAAAAAACGTAGTGCATAATGATTTAAAAAAAAAACAAAAAAAAAAAACGAGTTCTTACACCGAGCATTGGGGCAAAGTAGTGGGGTTGACTTTCACTATTGCAGTGATTGTTACTAAGTGAAAAGCCTCGATGTAAATTAATGTTGTTGCTTAAAATCATTGGGCAAAGTAATGGGGTTGACTTTCACTATTGCAGTGATTGTTACTAAGTGAAAAGCCTAGTGAATAATAAAGCTTATGTTGTTTTGGTGTTGGAATTCTGGAGAGATATGACTTGCGCTACATATACATATATATAATAATACCGCCTCTGTTTTGTTCCTTGGTGTGTTTGTAGCACAATGTTGATTTTGGATTAATTATGCATCAATCCTGCCTAAGTAGATTAAGAAAGGATTTTATTGATTTTAGTGTCTTGCATGCGGTTTTATTTTTATTTTTTCATCCTTAGGCATAATGCATGTGATTTCCTTCTTGAGTGAATTACTTGGACATTAAAAAATTGTGAGGGGATTTATTTTTGGATGATAAAGTCTTATTCTTCCTAATTTTGAATTAGTTGGACACGTGTGTTAGTGTGTTAATGGGTTTGTGTGTTCAGTTTTGATGGGGATGTTCTTGCTGCATGGTATTCAACCTTTCCCTTGATATTTTTTTTTTGAACCTCACCCATCACGTCCTCACTATATATCTTCATTTTCAGAACCTGAGAACCCCATTTTTATTTTTCTCTCTTTGAATTTTTCTTTTAACCATTTGTGTTCCTGCATCATTTTCTAATGTGCTTCTGAAACACTTTGGCTGATGGCAAAAGACTAGAGAAGAGATGGACAGTCTTCAACGATTAGAGATCAGTTCAAGCAACGACTTTCGTCTTCGGTTATATTTTTCTTTCTCTCTCTCATTCGATGTTCTTACTCAGGGGGAGATTTGCCTTTGGCATTTCAGTCTAAAAAGGGGGAGAAATTGGATGTTTCTGAAGATGTTGGGGATAATGTTCTAGTTGTTTGCTTCTGATTATATTGGGTGCTGTTTTTTGACATGTTTCTGCAAGATGTAAGAACGTCTATGTCTTGCTGCTTGATTATTTTGACTATTCTGACAGGGGAAGATAAATTAGGTTCTGATAGCTTGATGTGTTTTGATTGCTCTGATTATAGTTCTCTTAGTTGCTTTGATAGGAATTACCATCGTCGTTTCTTCACATGGAGGATGGTGGAAAAAGAACACGAGTACAGGCCCTTCGGCATCCCGTAGTTCGAAAAAGGGGGAGATAGAGGCAAAGATGGTCAAGGATGATGCTGAGAGACTTTTCTTTTGTGTGGCTACTGTTAGTACTTGCTGTGATTGGTAGGATGTTTGCTCTGATTGTATTATGCTATGTGCATCTAATGAGTTGTGACTGCATGTACTTCATGGACTGTGTTCTTACTCAGTCACTATTTGCGATATTCTTACTGCAGTGATTTGTTCCTTATGATATTATTCTGCATATTCGTGCTTGTTGTTCTAACTGTGTTTCAGGTTATCTTCATTATATGATTTTCGAACTAGATGCCAAAGGGGGAGATTGAAAGAGTTATATTTTTGGCAATGAAGTTCAAAAATTAATATAAGTGAAGATATATTCTTGCAAGCATGATAAATAAAAAGGGAAGTTCTTTTATTTATATTTATATTTATAAATTCGAATATATTTATATTTATATTTATATATTCGATTTACATGATCTTATTATGGATATATTTTGTAGGAAATCATATAAGAAGGAAAGATCTTTGGAAAGAGAAGATAGAGATCTACACCTACCATATCTCTTATGATTTACATGGAAGGAAATTAGATAAACTTGGAAGGAAATAAAAAAGGAGTCCTATACTTGGAGAACACTCCACATCCTAGGGATTGTATATATACCTGCTTGAAGAACGAATTTTGGAGAGCTGAGAGCATTATATTCTATTCCATATTCGAGCTGCAAGCTTTTTGTGTTTTATTTTCGTTGGTCAGTTTTCGGTGTTCTTACGTCATCGAAGAACTGAAGTCTGTTTTGTTTTCTTTTCTTTGTTTTTCATTCAAACACTTGTGTGATCAGTGCTTAGGGATTAAGTACTGTCTTTAGCTCGAGGGATTCGAGAGGTAAAATCCACGGGACGTGGTCGGAGAAGTAGTTGATAGAATCGTGTGTAGTTGTGGCTAGGCTAGAAGGGAGTTCGAGTCGTGTAAGTCCAAACTATACAAGTGTGCACAAACGGTTTATCAATGAAAGAGCTCTGAGGGGAAGTGGGACGCTTCCCTGAAGAGTTTTTAAATCTTCGATTTATTGCTTCCGCATTTTATAATTTTTGTTTTAGTTCGTACTACAAGTTGAGCGCACTCGTTACAAAATACCTACGTTTCAGTATATATTATTCTCACCTTTCATAACATGTATAATAAAATACTAAGAATCAACGAATAACTACAAAATAGTAGTGCATGGTATACATTATGATTGTTTTTTTATTTATACTTATGAAATCATTTCAAAATCTGTTAAATAAATATAATTAATGTCCGTCTCCCGGGCTTGGGCCCGATTGCTTATTGATTCCCTCTAGAGTTATAGCACTTGTTGAAGCATGTCCGTCTCCACCATGACTAGGTCCTCCATTTTTTACAGCCTCCAAATGGAGAATATCCAAAACCTTCGTAATTTCATTATTTATCATGTTTTCTTGATCTACTAAAGTTCTAATAGGACGAGCATCTATGGTGACAAAGAGAACAGAGAAAAGAAGAAGAAGAACAAACACGAGGAAAGAACGGGATTTTAGACCTTTGCCCATTACTATTTGTATAGGAGCTCTCAATGTAGAATAATACAAATATTTCTCAATTGTTTAGCAAGAAGATTTTTTAGGTTGTTTGAGAGATTGGAGATGGATATATCTGATATCATTAAGCCCTTCTATTTATAGAGTGCATATAATGCAAACACTTGCATGCAAAATCAAAAATGGTGTGATCATTAGGTCACTTCTTGGAAATTCGACAAGGAATGTGCTTTTAATTAATTAATTAATCAATTAGTCAGGTGCAGCCACATGAATCTTGGAGAGTCTCATTAGTAATAAGAGGCATTAAAATTGGAATCTATTGAGTCCAACTTTTGAATGGGCCGCCCCACGAAACAAAAGTCCAATTTGATCGCCTCAAAGAGTTCACAACATAGAAGTATACGTTGAATGATTTTTGTCAAAATAACATATTATTCTTCACTTGTG